GCCTTGGTGACATCTTCGACAATACGTGCTGTGCAGTGAATTGGAGACCGCCACAGTGTACGCCTGTGGTTCGACGGCCATTGACCGCGCCACATGTCAAGGCTGTAGCCAAACCTTATTCGTCACACCGGCCCTAGGAGGCGGCTTTCGCTCAAACTTTATTCTATTGTCGGGGGGAATTCCAGGGCAGATCATTGGGCGTCTGCTGTCGATCATTCCTGCGGGGAGGATGACTTTTGATGCCGCCTGAGGGTGTCCAAAATTTGGGGCTTCAGAAACAAGTTGGCGGTTGATTTTTTGAGTACGGTTCTTGAGTTGGCTGCATCAAGGGCTACACAAATGTGAGGCATTTCCAACTTGCGTTTATCGAATGGGAATATTGACTACCTGAGCAATCGTTGAGACGTGAGGTATCAGCCAAATATTATATCCACAGTGTGTAAGAATACTAGTGGCCCCGCGTTAAAGAACTGAAAGACCTGACCGTTCAAGCATTTTGTAGAGCATTATTTGGGGACGTGCCTATCCAGACGAGTACGAATGCTACGCGTTGGTGGCAAGATCGAAAGATGAATTCACTCCGGCCCCAAGGCAGGGAAGAGAGAAAATGGTTGCAGCGCATTCACTTACAGATCGGACCAGCGGGCCTGAGAAACATCACATCAAGCCCTGCAAGCGAGCCATGAGTACCAGCTAAAAAAGCAGTACACGTTAGCCCCATGACGGTCATTTCCCCTTCCGATTGTTGCGCCTGTGCGGAGTTCTATCGAGTGGCCTAGCAACACGAGCAAGAACTTGTCGCCCGCAGAGTGGCGAAAGTGAAGTTGGTCGTTGAAATGAGTGGCTTGAGACTGGGATCGTACGTGGCTGAAAATGCTAGTCCGGCTGTAAGGCTTGGTCCCGTGGTCCTTGTTCGCGTGGGGTGTGCTTGGGTCAGCCCTGCCAAACTTGAGTCGTTGACCTTCAAATGTGGGCGTGCAGGTTTTGGGGGCCATCCTTCGTGTATCTTTTTAATCTCACTAGGATCTTCCCCGTGCACATACAGCCGCGTGGGTCCCATTTCTTGCCCTGCCAATTGTAACCTCACTACTGTTTGTCGCGAGATGGTCTTCTGAGACTCACATCAAAATGGGAATGTCTTCAACAATGCGTAACGCCCCTTGAAATAGCTCAAATTCACAGATTAGCACTGCTGTGTGTCCAGTGACATGACTTCTTACTTCAAGTATTTGGAGTTGTCAGCGCGTGTGTTGTGTACGTTGGTTGCGACATGTGTCTTGCGTGGAACACACTAGAACCTTCCACCCGTTTCCAGCTGAGGTGGTGATGGCCTCACATCAAAGACACAGAAACATCTGGCAGCTTCTACCTGTGCATTCATCCTGCTATGCAATGCAATGGAACGCTCTAGGTTTGACGACAAGTTTCTAGGCATGATCGAAGAATTACGCATTATTGCAGCCTCGTAGTTTCGATGAGGTTCGCGAACTTCGACGAGAGGTCTCATTCTCAGATATAAATCTGTCGTGAATTCCCACGCTACCAACTTTGTAATTTTTATTCACCAGACATCACACAAGTACAACAACAAACAACTTCATGCACTCTACTACACGAACAATCTCAAAGCAAATTCCTCGAAGATTCCGCACCTGTCCACACAACATTTCTACCACAACTACTCGGCCAATCACCACAACAATACCAACCAAAATGTCTTTGTTCCCACGATCCTACTTCACTCCAGAGGCTTCCTTCACGCCTCTCTTCCGTCTCCTCGATGACTTCGACAGCTACTCCCGCGAAGTCGCCCCCAGCCGCCAGGGTAACGCCTCCCGCCGCCAGCTGCCCACCTTCTCACCACGCTTCGATGTGAAGGAGACCGAGTCTGGCTACGAATTACACGGCGAGATCCCTGGCGCTGAGAAAGACAACATCTCCATCGAATTCACCGAGCCTCAGACCATTGTGATTTCAGGACGCACCGAGCGCTCCTACACATCGGGAACTCCGCCAGCCGGTCTTGTCGAGGGCGGCAACACCATGAGCGGCGCCATCACGGACGGCAAAGACAACAACTCCCACAAGGCTACTGTTGAGGACGAGGCTTCTGAAAAGGCCAAGGAGGCGGGCACCGAGGTCGCCAAGGCAGACCAGCACAAGCAGGAGCAGCAGAAACCCAAAGAACGCTTCTGGGTGTCTGAGCGCAGCGTGGGCGAGTTCTCAAGGACGTTTAGCTTCCCTACACCAGTCGACCAGGAACACGTTTCTGCAAACCTGAAGGATGGTATTCTGAGCGTTGTCGTCCCCAAGGCTAAGAAGCAGGAGGGTAAGCGCATCGCCGTGAACTAGGATGCCCAGCTTCATTCTCGACCACCACTTGTTTGACTTGAATCTCAACACACACCAACCTACGATCATTTCTTAATAGTTCATGATATCATGATGGATCTGGAGAGTCTGGCATCGCATGTTTTGGGAGATTGCATGTTTTTCCTTTGTTCACTGGCATAGCATAGTAATTTGATACCTAATTTAATTCTCCTTAACTGCGGACTACCTAAACACTTCTAAGTGATATGCAAAGTTTTCTTGATCGAACAGCTAACACACACTCTTTCTTCCCCCCCCCCACCAAATGGATCGTTCGTGGCAAAGTCTCGACTGTGGTTAAAGATTCGAAGTACAGTTATCCCAAGTGCAGTGTGTTGACAGTAAGCGAAGTGCTAATGTCGTTTGATGGCGCAAGTTTGCACGCTGGAAGTGGCATAAGGCTGCGGAATTACAAGATACTAGATACCGGTCGCTTTGTGGCTCATTCAAGATGCGTGCATATGAGCAAGGTGAATCATCTCAGATTATGACAATTCCAGAGGATAACTGAGTTGCCTTGAGGCGTCTGAACTGAATCGATCCAGACGCAGACGTATGATTGAGTGACGTATGACCAATCTGTAATTGTAGTTTATTGTAATCTGGCGGTTGGTTCCCTCTCAATGCAACGTTTCAAGATCATTCCTTGTCTCGTTTGAAGCTCACCGGTGCTCTTCGATTTCTCGACATAGATCGTCTCTGGGGCACAACGCAGTTGAGGAGGTCGTCTTGCGAATCGTTGATTTCTTCTCTCTGTCCCGCAGTAGACTGCTCTGCAACAAAAAGCTTGTTTCGATCACTTGATTCAAGCTGAAAGCAGGCACGGCGTTGTTGGAACTCTCTTGCTATTCCTGTACAGTACCAAGGCCGGACCCGAAGCCGGGGGCCTACGCCGAAGCGGCGGGTGGAGATCCACTTTCCGGCAGGTCCGCCGGCGCGCCCTCCACACGACATCCGACTCTGTCGAAATGGTCATGAAAAGGCGATGTTGCATCAACTTTGGGCTCAACGCTCATCACCAAACAAAAGATCTAAGCATATTCGTGCAACATCTGAATCATCATGACTACTCATCAAACCCCCAGATTAGGGTGGATCGGTGTGTAATCATTGACTCTTTCACACGGCGAGAATTGAGGTCTAATGCAACATTAGGTCTCGGTTCCATGGGAATTGGTATGGCCGTAAATCTGCAAAAACACCTCTCGCGAACCGGTGCCCCGAGCTTACATTACCACAACCGCACCATGTCTCGTGGAGAGCCGCTCAAGACCATTGGTGGCGTGCCGTGCTCCAGCATAGGAGAGTTAATTACCAAGTCAGACATTGTCTTTCTATCGCTTAGTGATGACATAGCTCTAGCCTCTACGTTGGATGCCATGATACGGGAAAGTGGAGACGAGCTAGCAGGTAAGACCATCGTAGACACCTCTACCGTCCATCCATCTTCTTCGGTCAAAGCAAACACGAGGTTGGCCGATAAGAAAGCCCGTTTTGTTGCGGCCCCCGTATTTGGCGCCAGTCCGGTGGCTGCGGAAGGGAAGCTGCTCTTTATACTGGCTGGACCGACAGAGGCTATATCAGCAATCAACCCGTATCTGGTTGGGGTCATGGGCAGAGGCGTCATCAGACTAGGCGAGGATGTCAAGCAATCGAGTTTGCTAAAAACGGCAGGGTGAGCTTGGTCTCCATTTCCATCTCACCGAAGCACCTCACTAAGCAATTTTGCACACAGGAACTTCATGACGGCAGCTTTCATGGAGGTCGTCGCCGAGGCCCACATCTTTGCAGAAAAGACAGGCTTGGGTAGTGAGGCCATGGAAGCCTTGATTGAGCAACAATATGGGCCACTGCCTCTCTCCATGTCGAGACGATTGACTACTGGTGCATATATGCCGGCGATGGGTGAAAAGCCATGGTCAGATCTCAACTTGGCACTGAAGGATGTCGGGCATGGCATCCAGTGTGCAGAAGAGATGAAAATGAAACTGCCTGTGGGCGACTTAGTCCTTGGGCATTTGCAAGAAGCGAAAGCATACTCGGACGAACAGGCCAGGTCCCTCGATTCGAGTTCAATGTATGGGGTGTTGAGAAGGAAAGCCGGCTTGGACTTTGAGACACAGCTGGTGAAGGATAGAGATGCCTAAGCCCGCTTTGATCAAGTGAGTTCAGGGAGCGGTCTGGGATTTACATGTGTTAAATTTCGGGGGTTCTGTGCGAGGAGACCGTCGCCCTAGCAAAGTAACTGCAGTGGACAGAGATGGTAGATACTTGCCTCTCATTTCACTTGAATACAGAAGCATTGATTGAAAGATGAATGAGATGCAAAGCATTGAATGGACACCACAGAGGCTTCGAGGGATAGTGAAGGCACGTTCATCAATATAGCCGTACGAAGATAGCAGAAGCCTCTTCCCTCATAAACTTGTCGACACGAGATATACATGGTCACTGGCGAATACTTCGCTCAGATGAAAGAGGAACAATATAAGCCCTGACGTTCAAGGTCGCTACAAAGTTGGGGTGGCAGTGACAGACTTGAGTGGTGTGAAGACCTCTTTCATAATAACTGTCTCACTGTATATAGTATTGTGTTAAAACAAGAGTAACAACATTTGATGTTATCAGGGGTTATAGCGCAGTGGTAGCGCGTCCGCTTTGCACGATCGCATGAATTGCGGAAGGTCCAGTGTTCGATCCACTGTTTCTCCATCCTTTTTGGCGATGAGTTATAGCGTTGTGATCTTGCTTTCAATTTTGAAATTTTTGTTATATTCATTGATATTCAAGAAGCTTTGTAACGTTCGTACTGTCCCGGCGGAGTGGGACATGATATGTCTCTCTGCCCAACCGTTGAAATAGTGCAGCGGCACCGCCCATATTAGTCTTATTGTATTAGTCTTATTGTTCACGCTATTGTTCACGCTGAGTCACCTCACCTGGCCGTTGTTCACAGGTACTTGGGTTGAACCCGCATTCTTTACAGCTTCAGAATTTGTTTGAAGAAATACTTTGTGGTAAATCTTAACTGAGACTACTGTTTGATTCTTAAAAGGCGGCATCCTACTCCGAGTGTTCTTCGGGGTCGGGCTGTGATCGGCGCCGATTTCTCCACATCGGCGCGAGAAGGGTATCCTTCGCCTGTCTAGCGGCAACTTGCAACTTTTTTTGACCTTTCCAATATTTTGCAACCAGATGTCACGACAGCAGTAATGGTCTTGCGTGCCCTCAGGTCACTCATGATGACTGAGGTGACTCCCAAAAAAGTACCCATCCCACCTAGGGGCGTCGATTATCGGGGCAAAGTGGTGCTGGCGCCAATGGTGCGGTCGGGCGAACTGCCATCACGACTCCTTGCGCTACACTACGGCGCCGACTTGGTTTGGGGTCAGTCTTTTGATGCGTTATCCATCTCCATACTCGGAAAACTGAACTGACACTTAGTCCATACAGGCCCCGAAACTGTCGACCGTGCCATGATAGGTGCGACCCGGCGCATCAACCCCATCACCAACACAATCGACTTCGTGCGCATCCCGTCGTACGGCCAGAAACAGCCACCACCCAACGCAAAAGAATCCATCATTTACCGAATACATCCCGAGCGTGAGGGGCGCAAGCATATTTTTCAGGTCGGCACTTCGGACCCAGATCGTGCTGTCGCTGCGGCTCGCCTGGTTGCACCGGATGTCGCAGGCATCGACGTGAACGCCGGATGTCCGAAGCCCTTTAGCACGCATGACGGCATGGGCGCCATGCTTCTGACAACTCCAGACAAATTGGTCGCGATCTTGGAGGCGTTGGTGAAGAACATCATACCCGAGTTTCAGATTGGCGTGAGTGTCAAAATACGGATTCTCGAGACCGCCGAGGAGACTGAAAGGTTGGTAAGGAGGCTGGTGGCAACAGGAATCACAGGTCTGACAGTGCACTGCCGGACAACGCCCATGCGGCCGCGCGAGAAAGCGATCAGGGGTCAGCTGCGGATGATCGCGGACATTTGTCGCGAGGCGGGCGTGGCGTGCTTGATGAATGGCGACGTAGAGGACCGAGATTCTTCGGTAAAGCTCATCGAGGAGTATGGCGTCGACGGAGCCATGATCGCAACCGCGGCAGAGAAGAATTCAAGTTGCTTCCGGACCAAGGAGCAAGGCGGCATGGCGACCTGGAACGAGATCACGGAGAAGTACATCGAACTCGCAATCGACGTGGGCAACAGATTCGGTAACACAAAGTACTTGCTCAATCAAATCATACCAGGGAAGCAGCCTGCCTACAAGATGGTCCAGTCTTGCAAGAGCTATAGTGCTGTTTGCGAAGCGCTGGGATACGAGAACCTGCTTGAGAGGGCGAAGGAGGCGGACACGGTAGCTGGACTTACGACGGGTATCAAAGTCGAGCCAAAGCCTGTGCAGGGAATTTACACCAGCAAGAAGCGAAGGAGTAGCAACGCGGCACAGACGCAAGCTGATGACCTCCCGTCGAAACGTAGCAAGGTTACCAATGGACAGACGGAAGACACCACATCACTTGAAGAATCTCAGTCTTCAGTTGCGGTCTCGGTATAATCGCACCAGTCGGATCAGACGGACCACAGCTAGGTACCTACTCTTGTCTGATCTTCCAATCACTTTTTTGCATTGCAGGCGTTCAATTAGAAGAACTTGGCTCTGAACAACGATATCCTACGAAGGGGGCATAATTTCACTGCTTTCCCCGCCGAGTTGAGAGGGGGAAAAAAATTTAAAAATGAAAAGAACTTGAAGAATTAAATCTAGTGAAGCCAGTTCGAAACACAGAGTGATGTTTTGACGGCCATGGAAAGCATGTGTATGAGATTGAACCACAAAAGTCGCGTGCACTGTAGGAGAGACTGTGTGTCAAGCCTGAAGTGCTGACAACAGGGTATTCAACGACCGCCTATACAGTACAATTAACATTCGGCACAGTGTTCTTCGACAATCCTGGCCGAGGTGTGACGTTGCTCCTATTCTCACAACACATCTCACCCTCGACTTAGTACATAACAAGCCCAGACAATCAGCCAAAGCGTCAGATACCGGCGAATTGGAAATTTCAAGACCTGGTACCTTCGTAAATTTGACTTACAAATTGCGCCCTCACAAGTCCCCTTGCGTCTAAACGAAACGAGGACCCGATGAAAGAACGCACCTGAACCAACTTTTACTAGCTCAAGATGAGCGACCTGCAGAAGGCCTGGGCAAAGAAAAAGTTGGAGCTCAGTGGTGCCGAGGCGTTTAATGAATTGGATGAGGAGGAAGAAGAGCAGGATGATGGCTACCTCCCAGAGTTGCCAGAGGGTTTCGACGACGATTCCTCGTCGGCCTCATCAGCGTCGTCCACCGGCACGGTTGTACCAACGCCCAGTCGAAACCTGTTTGCAAGACCATTAGGGTATGTGCATACTTCATCGATGATCAGAAAACGTTGCTGATAAGAATGTTTGAGCAAGAACTCCAAGGGGAGGCGGCCGGAGTCTCGAGCAAATCCCGTGGACGACGTACTTCGAGAGGGAGCTATCTTTGCCCAACCAACCGGACGAGACCGGTACTCCTCAAATCACTCACCATGCTTATCTGACCTCGCCAGTCGACAAAGGCCCGCTCTTTGTAATGCATCACGGTGCTGGATCCTCGGGCTTGTCTTTTGCTGTCTTGGGATTTGATATTCGAAAAAAACTACCCTCTGCTGGCATCCTATCACTAGACGCTCGTGGCCATGGCTCCACTGTCACGACTGGGGATGGACCCCTCGACTACAGTCTAGAGACCCTGAGAGTCGACCTGCTATCCGTCATCCAACAGACTGAGCAGCAGATGGGCTGGAAGGGGCTGCCACCCATCGTTCTCGTCGGCCATTCACTCGGCGGAGCAGTTGTCACGGACCTGGCCAAATCATACGCCCTGGGCAGCTCTCTGCTTGGCTACACGGTCTTGGACGTCGTCGAGGGCTCTGCTATGGATGCTTTGCAGAGCATGACGACGTACCTGTCCACAAGACCAACGGGCTTTGCCTCGGTGCAGGCTGGTATTGATTGGCACATCAGGTCGAGGACAATTCGAAACTCGGTCTCGGCACGAACGAGTGTGCCTGCGCTGTTGAATGAAGTACCCGGAGGCAGCAGGCCCTGGAAGTGGCGGACGGACCTTGCTGCCACAGAGCCATTCTGGTCAGATTGGTTCGTCGGGCTGAGCAAAAAATTCTTAGAGGCAAAGGGCGGCAAGATGCTCATTCTGGCTGGAACAGATCGCTTAGACAAAGAACTGACAATTGGGCAGATGCAAGGTAAGTTCCTCGCAAATTTGGGAGAGGACATCTCCGAGCTGACTCTGTCACAGGCAAATATGCTTTGCATATCTTTCCCGAGGCCGGGCATTTCGTGCACGAGGACCAGCCTGAGAATACGGCGATGGTGCTTGTTGACTTTTACAGGCGAAACGATAGAAGCGCACTGGTGCTGCCACCCAAAGTTTCGGATTTATTGGCGCAGGGGAAGAGGGTCTGATGGAGCGCGGCGTCTTGGAAGAATGGAATATGCGGCAAACTTGGCCTGGACTTGTAGCCAGCCACAATTGCTGATCGACCGCGAGCAGGTCTTTAGAAACAGCAAGATCTCGAGGAATCGTAGCAGCAGGTCAACACATGCATGATCAAGATATTGGGTGTTATGCAGTCGTCATTTCGCCTTGCCCAAATGAAAGCTTGAAAGATACCCTTTAAATCGCTAGCCGCCCAAAATGCCCCAGGCGCCTTGTCGCCTCAATTGTAATTCAATGTCTCAGCCCTCTGCTCTATCAACCTGCGCTGTGCCTCATCCTCATTTGCCTTTTTGTTCACCTCATTGTCCGTCATGGCCTTCTGCTGCCGCAGCTGCTGGCCCAACTTTCCAGCCTTGGCTTTAGCAGCTTGCTCTCGTTGCTATATCACAAAGTCATTAGTCTCATCATACGAAATCCGCCAAAAAAACTGACAGGAAGGGTTCCGTTTCTGTTCTCTCCCCCCCCCCTCTCTCTCTCTTTTTCATACCTCAGCAGCCTTGCGCGCCGCCGCACGCGGGTCCTCGCCGGCAGATGACGAGCCCTCACCTAGCGTCCGCCCCGGCCCGCTGACGACGCGCTTATTTGCCGGGAGCGGTGCAGTGGGAGGCTGCACGGGCGCAGAATCGAGAGTGCGCCCTTGGCCGGCAAAGTTGTCGTCTTTGGATAGCTTGCCGCAGAGGGCACCCATTGCAAAAACGAGTGACTTGAGTTGTTGTTGTTGTTGCTGTGGCTGTGGCTGCGGATGTGGATGTCGTGAGTGAGTGACAGACGAGACGAGGGTTGCGATAAACGTTCGGATATATGCAAACGAGAAGCCGAGGCGTTGGTCTGTGTGTGTGTGGCTGTGGTTGAGTGCGCCCAGTGCAGAAGAGATGACTGACGATCTTTAGAAGATGAGCCTGTCGATAAATGGCAGATCGGGAATTCTTGGTGAGTAGATCAATTGATGAGAAGCCGAAGTGTGTGACAGGCTTGCGTTTGTTGCTGGATATTGGAGTGAGTGTCACAGATCAAAGAGGATCGGCCTTGGCCCGTCTACCCTAAAATGCTTGGTGTAGGTGCTCAGCCACCTTCACCGTGGCCATAAACTACGCAAGTAAACACCTAAAATTACGGTGCTAATTTAAACATGATTTTGGTTGACTTCTTGTT